TATATATATATTTATTTTTTTCAGCAATGGGAACAAATTTTTTATCAATAACTGTAAAAAAATTTATCCCTTTAATTGACAATTTTCATGGAAAACAAAGTCAAACGAACACGAAAAGATCCAAAATTTCAACATTTTTCATGTGAAAAATTATATCAATCAAACATATTTAATTAACAATTCTCAGTAAAACAAATTTTAAGCAATTCAATTCCCTGAAATTCGTTTATTTTCCACATAAATTTCATTCTTACAATCAAACAAACCCTTAGCTTTAAATCTGAAAATTCAATTAAGTCCCAACTCTATAACCCATCCTTCTAACTAATAACTTTCTGGTTGGGTCGTGTTGTAAGGGGAATCAACAATTAAAAAGGAAAATGGAATTAAAGATTATCCATGTGTAAACAGTAAATACTGAGTGCTGTTGTTGGTAAATATGGAACATCGTGAAAAGAGCTCTTGATTTATTCTACAATTAAACTAAGGGTATTTATATTCACACCACAATTTTATTTCTTGCATCACATTTTAATTGCATTTAAGATTTTTAATCTGTGCTTATTATAGCACTTATGTTTCTAACTATTTTTTATGTCATTCTTATCCTTAAACTTTTCATTAGTTAGCATATTTTTTTATAACAGTTTTATGTCTAAAAGTCCGTTGAAATAGTGCAAAACAACTTATTTTTTCATCATGTTTTTAAAAATAAATAAATAAGTGCGAAAAATATTTTCTCCTATTTCAAAGCATGAAAGCAAAACATTTTTATATAAATCATCATCAAGGACGAAACGTACTTATTAATTAAAGTTAAAGATAAAAATTCAATCGAAAAAAGTTAAGAAAATAATTGCTAAAATAAGCAAAAATTAAGGAGTTTAATTGCAATTAAAATGCAGTGTACCAAATGAAAATTGTTATGATAATATAATCACCCTTAAATTAAATTTGATGTACAACTGGAAAATGGGTATTTATATTAAACAACATTTATTTATTTATTTATTTCATATCAAAAGATGAAAGAATTTTATTATAAAAATATTGTTCTTTTAATAGCAGTAATGACAGTATCTACACTAGCCATCATTCTAAGCAAATGAAAAAGGAAAAATCCGGTTGTACAGAAAAATGATCCACATAAATCTTACAGGCACTTACATGGGGTCGACCCCATGTGAATTAAAATATTGCAAAAAATAACCCACTCACCCCTGCATGAGTGTATTCTGTACTGTTTCTGTACAAGATTTTTCTATGTGTGTAGCTTGGTTGAATGAAATAATCCAAGAATCAATTCTGAGCAGCGCCCTAAACATTTTATGAGGAGCATTATTTTTTTCCACCTGTAGATTAGATTCAGAAGATTTCCATTACTCATTTTCAGTATTACTCAATGAGAAACTTGTTATATTAGTTGGGTTGCCTCACCATTTCTTGCTGGCCCAGATTGAGACTTGTGGGCTTGATCTGTTTTGGAATGATTTTCAGGTTATAAATCGTGCTTCTGAGGAAACACGCCCTTGCCTCTTAAATGGTTGAGGTTTAGCCGTACACGTGACTTCACTCTCACCTTTGGATGGTTGACTGATCAAATACTTGGTTTTGGCCCTAATTCTAGATTATTCGATCTTTTTCAACCCTTCTTCTCTCTGCCCTTCTCTCTGAGTGATAGATTAGGTTTCTTGTTCACTGTAATTCATATGATCTTGGTGATTTCTCAATCTGTAATTCTTAGTGATGGTTTCTGATTGTGTTGTATAGTATGTTAACGATTGAGAGTGAGTGGATTACATTTTAGAATAGAGGCGAAAGAATATTCGAAGAAACCTTTGGTTTCTTCGTACATGGTGTACTGTTCTTGGTTGATACTTAGTAGATCTTGAGCTTTATCACATTTTGGTGATGCTGAATGGGTGACTAGGTCGTAAGACCGAACATCCGGGCCCTTTTAGGGCAAAAACATATCTTCGTGTTCGATTGATTTATCTTTTCTGCAAATCTAATTTTTCTGCAAAGCGATTTATTTTTGAGACTAAACGGTCCATCGACTTTACAAAACTAACTATACCATCAAAGGCTATTGCAAATTTTTAAAGACCATATAATAATAATAATAATAATAATAATAATAATAATAATAATATTCAGCATAACTGGTGTAGTTTAGTACCACATAGAAGCTACGGAAAGATTGTGGAAACATATTTGTTCGAGTTGCTAAGATAATTATGAATTAGATACTCTTGAATTGGCAAATGGATGGATTAACTTGCTCAACTATTCATATCACTTCGTACTTTTATATCTTAGAATTCTATTAATTAAACCAATTGTCAAGCTTTTTTTTTGCTTTTTTTTTTTTTTTTTTTTTTTTTTTTAAAATTAAATAAAAAAAACGGAAAAC